GCTGCGGCCTGACCGGTGCCGCATAGAGGGGGAGGATCACCTCCTTGGACCTGCTTGAGATGCATCTGTGGATGTATGACAAGGTGTGGTTGGCCTTCCTGACTGCATCCCCACACTGCCGGCCCATGCTCATCTTGGCATCAATAATGAGTCCAAGATCCTTTTCTGCCTCTGTACTGACAAGAAGGGAGTTCCCCAGCCTGTAGGTATGGTGCCGGTTGTTCCTCCCCAGGTGCATCACCTTGCACTTGTAGGTGTTGAATCCCATCCTATTCTCATCCGCCCACCCCTGTAACCTGTCTAGGTCCAATTGCAGCCTATTCCTCCCTTCTAGAGTGCCCTCATCCTCCCACATCTTAATGTCATCAGCAAATTTGAACAGGGTGCTATTTACCCCCTCATCCAAGTCACTGATGAAGATGTTGAACAGTGCGGGCCGGAGGACCAAGCCCTGCGGAACCCCACTGCCCACATCCCTCCAGGTCAAAAATGACACATCCGCTACCACTCTCTGGGTGCGACCCTCCAGCCAGTTGGCGACTCATTTGACTGTGTGGGTGTCGACATAAAGTACAATCTCTCTTGTAGGCCTCCATACATAAGCCAAGCACTAAATAGAGTGGCTAATATTACAGGCATCAGAAACTGGTTGGTCAAGAGGGGAATCTTGTGTGCTCAGGTCTTGTATGGTTAATGATTTATACCTGCAGTAGCCATCTAAATAGCCCATGCTTCTTGTTCGTGTCTTGGGTACTTTTACTGTCTGTAACTATGACACTTTAGACTAGCTGAAAATGGTTATCTTTTCATTTTCTTTGCCTTATAAGGCCCGTGGAGAAAATCTGGTAAAATGAAGATTCAAAGCATGTCTGGGACTGCATAAGCATTTATCCAAATCTCTGTTGAGTAATAGGTCTTGGATGATTTGCATTAGTAGATACATGTGTGTGAGAATGATCTTTCATAGTACCTGTTTTTACTATGCCTAAATCTGTTCTCTCTGCCTCTGGGCATGTCTACACATGCTGTAACGCACTTTAGTTAATGCTCATTAAATCTAATACCTCCATTGTGAGGTACTAGGAAAATGCATATTAGCCTGTCTTAAAGTACATTAACTAAAGAGCCGGGGGCACTTATACACATGTGGGAAGCCTGCTCTGACGTGCTGGAAGTCCAACGTAAATTGACACGCTCTGGCAGCCTCATGCATCACGTGTCTCAACAGCACAGCATGTCTCCCTGCTGAGAGAATGGCAGCGGTGCACTTTGAAATAATACATGTTTGAAGTGCTTTAGTTCAAAGCACCTCACCGCCATTTTCTCAGTGTGGGGATGTGCTGCACTGCTGATACATGTGATGCGTGGGTGCTTTTAATTAGCACAGCTTGCTAATTAAAAGCATCTGGCACCATGTCAGGACCATATGTAAAAATGCCCCAGTTTTTAAGTGATGCTTAATGTGCATTAAAATAGGCTAATGTACATTAAAGCACATATGTAGACATGTCCACCTGAAGGTTCCAGAGGTTCCAGGTAACTAAAAGACCTTCTTGTTCTGTATATTTATACTACTTACCTGAACGGAGATTCGATCTTGTCTATCTGCATGCAAACTAAAAATGGATACTGTGAGAACTGTACTGTAGATATGAAGTCTAGTGTGGCCTCTACTTCAATACTGGTTTCCATACCAGCCTGCACAAACAAGGAATCCACTAGGATATTGCCAGCTACCAGCATAGTTCCCCTGTAAATAAAGTCACATAAAAGAATTGGGCATTAACAGATTTCAGAAACAAGCAGGGGATTAAATTGCAAACAGTTCTAACATCTAAGCACCAAGGGTCAACAATCTTTTAGGAGCAGTGGGCCAAATTGATGGAGCTAGGTCCCAAGGCCGGACATTGCTTCTGACTTAGCTGCACTGTGCCCCCCTCCCACCCACCCTGGCCCCTTGCACCTCTCCCATGGCACTGCCACTGACCTGTTGTCAGATTGCTGCTCATGTGCCAGTTTCACAGGCAGAACACAATCTCTCAGTGGGCCAAATCCAGCCCATAGACCATAGGTTGCTGGCCTCTGACCTAAGCAGTATAAATTCCTTTCTAGGAAGCCTGTTCTCCAGACACTGTATAAAATTCAGTGCCACTGGACATAGGTATCACACACATGTAGAAGAGAACAGGGCCTTTACTTTTCAGTTTACTTATACATGTTGGAAAACATATATCCTTTACAATTGCAGCCTCCTGTATTAGCATAGTGATGCACACTGCTTTGATTTCCAAGGGTGATAACTCAAAGATCCTCTGACAGTTATTTACACCAGTACAAAAAGGATGTGCAAGGCTGCTATTTTGTTTTCTTTCACTTTCCAGTGGTTTTGCAGGGGAATGGCAAATTACACCCAATGTCTCTTCTCACTTGCATTTCTGACCAACCTTTGTAGTGCCTTCAGAATGTACAAAATGAGGCTGGCAGGGCATGAAACTTAGACTTAGTGCATTTGGAACCAGTGGACCACTTGGATTGAATTTGGTCCAGATACATGTTTGCTCTGTTCTAAGTTATTACTGGCTTCTTTTTTGCAATTCCTTTACTAGTTAGCTGTCAAGAACTGTTTTGTAGAGATGGGTAAGCCTCACACAGCCAGCTAGGAGAGGGTCCTTCCCTCTTCAAACAGGTAGAAGTCATGAGGGAGAGCTTAAATTCTCTCCCGGAGTTTAATGCATCTCTCTGTAAATACAGAATACTAAAACAAGCAGTCTAGACTATTCAGGAAATCATAATTCAACAATTAAAACCTTGCCTATTTTCCCATATCTAGCCCCTCACTTGCAGGGGGGTCTTGTGCCACTTTTCTTGTATGTCCTCAACTCTCATCAAAGTCAAAGGGAGTCCAAGGTACTCATATCTGCTAATATCCCAGAGAAGATGCTCACTAGCTACATCTGGATGTGGACTGCTACATTAGTTCAGTTCATGCTACAGTTGGCGCACATTCCCATACCTGGAAATTCATGGTAGGCTCTACTGCTGCTTGCCTGCCTTCAAATTTCCAGCCTCTCTGGGGGCCCAATGGCTAAAGTATATGACTGAGGGCCAGATCCATCCCACAGGTCATATGTTTGATACACCTGAGATCAGACATGGACCTGGAATTGAGGAATGTCTGAATTTAAATCCTAATTCTAGTACTGGCTTATTCTGTATCATTAGGAAATATACTGGACCTCCCTACCTCACTTGGTTCCCCTTTAAAGGTGTGGTTATGCCTTCAAAGGTGAGGATTAACTAATTAATTAATGGTTAACATTTTCAAAAGTGCCTAAGTTCATTCTGAAAATCAGTTCAGACCATTAGGCCTCTGAGGCTTCTAAATCTTAGATGATTTTGAATTAAAATTATCCTATATTTTTAAATCATGTTGAAATTCAGTTCTCACTTCCCCTTTTGCAATCTTACTGAGCCCAGTAGAGCTATACAAGTCTACAACCCAGTAGAATTAGTCCTCTGAATCACCTGAGTATCTAATGAACTGAAATCACTAACCCTACTGAAGGAAATTCATTTTTATAAGATGTTCTTGTTATTGTTTTTATAGGGAAGGGGAGATCTTATTGCCACTTGATTTTTCTCCTGAAACGATAATCTTATTTTAAGCATAACTATCCTTTAATTTTAATTAGACTTCAAAGTCCCTTGATTTTTAAAATCCTCAAAATAGACTGTCTCATTTTACATCTTTCATCATATAAAGTTACAGCATATACTGAAGGTATCTCACCGATTCTTGACACTGGTTTTGGATTCTCTGTACCAAAGACTGAATTCCATTCCACCTGAAATGTCAATGGCCAGACCACTTTGGAACTCTGTATTGGCCTTCAGCCCAGACTGTAACTGAATGACCTAGAAACATAAAAGAACCAAGATAACAACTCGCTTTGCCCATTGGAAAGTTAAACACTCTTCATTTTCTTGCTTCTTTTAGGGTCAGTTCTCACTTGCTGGAGTTCGCCTACTTTCCATTGCGTATTTGTTGGGAAGAGAAGGAATACCACTGGGGCACAGTGAAGACTTGTCCTCCCTTCCTCCACACACATGAAACACCAACACAGAATACACGGACATTTCTGTTCTTCCTCTTAAAGCATGACAGGTGGAATTCTGTCTTACTCAGCATTCTTTCTTGGGAGCTCATGGCATAATGCAGCCCTGCATTTCTTGTTCGCTGCACCTGAGGCTTATCACTGCAGACCCTTGTTCCATATTGGTAGTAAATACAAAGTGCTTTGCTCATTACAGCACAGCAGAGACCTCATGAATAATCTGGAATTGCTGTCCCAGAAAAAGTTCATCTACAGCAAATCTATTGGCAAATATAAATTAGTTGCCTATGTATTCAATATAATTCCCGCCTACATTGGGCCTGCTCGTGGTTTCTTGAAACCTTTACAGCTGGACTGGAAGTGCATTTCATGGAGTCAGTTTCGGAAGTGATAATAGCTCAGGGTCACAACAGCTCATTACATTTGAATTTTGTCAGTCAGCCAGGATTTTAAAGTTCACACAGCTTGGCAATCTGACCTGCTTTATATAGCTACCTGTGTCATCTTAAAAACAAGAAAAACTAATTATTTTTTTTCAGAAAGAATATTACGGTTTGAAAATGTTGATTTAGATGCTAAAAATGCTCCTCACTGCATAATATAACTGCCTGGTGGTCCTCAGTATAGTCAACCTGATGGCTGAGGATCATGGAATTCTGGGAGAGGAAGGAAGTACAGCACGGTGGACTGAGCACTGGCCTGGGCACCAGGAAACCCCCACTCCAAAACTTGTGTTGGAGGTTGACTCCTGTGACTTGGGCAAGTCAGTCAGACCCTGATCCTAAGCCAGGGGTGGGCAAAATGCAGCACATGGGCCAGATGTGGCCCACCAGGCCATTCTATCCAGCCCATGGGGCCCGTAAAATATTAATTTTCCAAATTGTTATTTGCCCCTGGCTGCCCGTCATGCAGCCCTTGATGGCTTGCCAAACCTCAGTAAGCGGCCCTCCGCCTGAAATAACTGCCCGCCACTGTCCTAAGCCCACTGAAGATTAAAAAGTTGTCAGTCAAGTCTAGCATGCTGTGAATTAGACCATGGTCTTGCCATATTCATGATCTATACCAGAGATGGCAACATACTGTACAGACCTCAGGCCAGATCCAGCCTGCAGAACTACTGAATCCAGCCTGCAGAGTCCAAGGGCTTTCTACGCCTATGCTCATGATCATGTCTGCACTGGTGCTAAGCAGAGAGGAGCTGTGCCAAGGCCAGGCAACTTACAGCTGTGTCCTTGCTGCAGCTACTTCTTCATCTCACCCCTTAGCCTCCCCACAGCTAGGATGTGGGTACAGCTTCCAGCCAATGGAAAGCTGCACTGGGGCTGGGCAGCTGGAGGCTGTGTCCATACTGCTGCCACTTCTCCCTTCCTCTTCCTCTCCTACCCCCCCCCAACTGTGGCACAGAAGCAGCAGTAGTGTGGACACATCTTCCAGCTGCCCAGCCCTGGCACTGATGAAGCTGCACCTATATCCCAGCTGGAGAGCAGGAGGCTGGGAGAAGCAGCAGTGGCATGGGTGCAGCTCCCAGCTTCCTGGCCCCAGCTTGGGTGCAAGGAAAAACCCCTGTCATGGATACTGCAGAAGCAACCTGGCCCACACTGGACCAGAGCTGAGTTGCTCCAGGCCACAGCTTGAAAAGGGTGCCAGCCACTGGTCTATACAGTGAAAGCTGTGGTGTTAGTCCATACAGGACACAAATGCCCTTTCACAAAAGTCTGGGCCTGAATTTCTTGTGAAGGAAAAATGTTTGCAGCAGAGGGAGGAGGGAAAAATTTGTGTCCTGCCAAACAGCAGCTATAGGGGAAATGAAGAAGGGAGCCACGGTTTTCCATACAATGGAAACTAATGCCTCATTCCCCCTCCATGCCATCATGCTTTGGTTGTCAATTTGGAAAAGCAATATTTTGCTAGGAGTCCCCCAGATCAGTAGATCTTGTGGCTAAATTGCCAAATCCTTTCCTTGCTTTGGTACAGTATCTTGTGTCTGGCCAGTCTCTCTTTCACCTCAGTTGTTCTAAGAGAGGAATTCCTCACGTTGATCAGAGTTAGCAAAGTGAGAGAGGACTTAGCCAGGTCTGGATCTGATCTTTGGGGAAGTCCACCCATGTGGTTGACTCCTGCTGTCATTGAGGGTCTGCTCCTTTCTCCCACCTTCTCATGTATGTCCATAGCTCTCTGGTGTGATGACTTTTGTCCTCTTTCTTTACCATCTAGTTCCCACACCCTCCTGGTAGTTCTTTTTTTTCCCCCGTTGTTCCTGTTCTTCTTCAAGTATTTGCAGGATGTGGGAATGGTTGATCTGCCCCCTCCTATTTGCAGGAAGGGATCTCTCTGATTTTTTTCATAGTTTCATAGATTTAGGGTCGGAAGGGACCTAGCAGATCTTCTAGCCCGACCCCCCGCCAGGGCGGGAGAACAACAAAACCCCAAAACAAAAACGGGACTCAAATGAGTCCAGCCAGGTAGGCATCCAGCCTCTTCTTAAAGACCCCCAGGGTAGGGGCCAGCACCACTTCCCTTGGAAGTTGGCTCCAGCTCCTAGCCGCCCTAACTGTGAAGTAGTTTTTGCGGATGTCCAATCTATACCTCCTCTCCATCAACTTGTGCCCATTACTCCTTGTTATGCCAGCGGGCGCTAGGGGAAACAGCGTCTCCCCCAAACCCTTCTGGTCCCCCCTAGTGAGTTTATAGATGGTTTCCTTGTAGTTGTCCTGCAGTCTTGCTAAAGCTGTCATGATAAAAGATTAGGCTCCCCCTATTAGTGCAGCTTGGTGGCTGGTGAAGTTGCTTTGGGGTCTTAACTTTTATTCCTTTTGTGGCATACAGGGCCTTCAGAAATGTAGTGACTATTATGGTGACTTCACCTTTTAAGGTCCCAACATTTTGTGTGGCAGAGTTCAGAAGGCTTCTCACTTGTCAGTCAGTTGTTGCTGGAGTAGGCTGGAGAGTTAATGTAAGAATGCAGTAGGCTGAAGATGGCTTATAAGCAAGGACGCCCCTGGCTAGCTGGATCATATGTTGTTCTGTTTTCCTGTGATTTTTTTCATCTAATCCTGGCTCCATTGAAATCAAAGGAAGTTTTGCCTTTTGACTTCTCTGGGGCCATGATTACACCTACTGTAGTTAATTTAAAAGGCCTGATTTACTTATTTTGATCTGGAGATGCAGCACCCCTTTTTAATTACAGTGAGATTGATTTATAAAGGGTAGGCAAGGCAATATAGAATAGGATATATTCTGGAAAAAAACAATCCTGCATAAGCAGGAGAGAGATTTTGTTGCTGTGCACTATCAAATTGGACTTAGGTATCTGAGAGGAGGATCAGTTTGCTAAGACTCTGTAATTAACTGTGAGAGTTACTGTGCATGTGACTAGAGCTTAGAAGCCTACAATAGAGTTAGGTCAAATCTGCCTTTAAAAGGCAAGCAAAACTTCATGTATGCTTTTTGTCTTTTGCTTGACCCACTCCTTCATTTCCTTGTTTTGATTCAAATCCTGAATCCTTAGGGACACAAGTGCAAATCTCATTCAAATCAAGAGAAGCTTTGTATCTATAGTCACTGGTGAGATCTGGCCTTTTAGAGGTGCCTTTTCCCCTTTGCCTTTCTATTTAAGGCTTTGCAGTGTCACTTATAATAGAAGACAGGGTATGGAAAGTTTGGATCAATGTCTTGGCACTGCTTCAAAATGCTGGAATATGATCCACATCAACAAAAAAATCTACGTACAGTACTGGTAATGCTACTGTAATCAGCAGCAGATCCAGAAATAAGGCAAGGAGGGAAGGGGGTGCAGCCCCACTTTTGGATGTGCTGCATGTGTGCAGTGAGCTCTGCTGTAGCTCAGTTTGCCCTTCCCCTCTGCCTTCCTCCACATTGAATTCAGCAGCAGGGAAAAAGTGGCATGCAGTGGCAGTGTTCATCCCATCGGCTCTGGAGCTACATGAAAGCAAGGGCTCAGGCCAGACCCTGAGCCAGGAACTCATGTCAGGACAGCCAAAGGGGTCTGTGACCATGCCACTGCCCTCCTAGACCTGCACCTGACTAAAATGCAATGGAGCAGCATGCCAGAGGGAAAAAAAACACTTTTAAAGAAATTAGCTGTCCTCTACTGGAGTCTGGTTCTTTGCTTTGACCTACCAATAAATCATTTGGTTTCTCTACTCTTCTGACAGGTCTGATGTCTAATAGAAATACTGTTTTTTACACTCCTGAATGTTAATACTTCATAGGCATCTTCATAGGCTCAAAAACAATTTTATAAGAGTGGATGCTTTTATGAAGGGACTTATAATTTGTGCACTGTCATTCTTAATCCATGGTCCAAGTTGTGAAAAGTGGCAATGCCTACAGAGTGCACTCTTATGATTTTTGTTTGGGATTTCATGAGAGATGGTGCTCCAAAGCAAACATCAAGAATAGCAGGCAGATAATTAAAAGGATATCACCAATTTGGGAGCTGCATTCTTATCTGAAGATGCTGTGCCTGACTATACTCCTGATCACTACAGCTGCAAAGCTAGTGGAAGAAAACTATTTATCCTGGTTATTTTACTTTTTATATTTCACAGGACTTTGTATATCATTGAACGATTACACCTTTTCTTTTCTTTAACCAATTAGCAAGAGAGCCACTGACTAAGTGAAATGATCCCTTATATTGTATATACAGGAAGCGGGGAGCATAAAATCCTGTATAACATTTCCAAGGGATTTTAAAAAATCTGGATATGCTGAATATTGGATCAGCCAGTTTTAGATCCCTACTCTCAGCCCTTCCAGCCATCCTCCTATAAATAGGATAGCAACTCTGCCATCTACATCCTTCACATGTTTGTTCCTTTCTGTGCTGGACCCATGTTTCCATGAGCCATGCTTTATTGCAGAGCTTTCTAGTAGAGAGTTGAGCATGGGTGCAGGAGACAGAAATGAACAATGTTATAAAATATTTTCTAAAGCCATATAATTGGCCAGAATAGTTTACCAGGGTTGTATGCCAGTTGGTTTGTTAAGAGGATGATGACCTGGATGACCTTTGTCTATGCTGACTAAGGAAAACAAATGAGTAGCCAGCTGGCAAGAAACTTGGCTAATCATGGCTCTTGATGATCCAGCATTTAAGGACCATGTCTATCTAGAGATGATTCTTCTCTCAGAAGTGGTTTCTTAAGTGGCAGTATTACTATTTAAGGCCCCATCTACACTTACATTTAAGCTGTTTCCTGGTGCATATCGAGTCACAAATGGAAGGCAATTTCAGATAAAAATATTTTTATCACAGTTTTACTGGCTTGTTTAAAGGTGGTTGAATTCTGCTAAAACAGTTTATAGTTTAGAACAGAGGGGGGCAATTTTTTGGCAGCTGTGTCAGACATGAAGCCCTGCACCCTCCAATCCTCTTCTTCTGCCTACTCTGTTTTCTGCTCCCTGTCCTATCTGCTGATGTGCTGCCTACCCCCTCCTCAATATGCTGTGATTCCTAGGGCACTTATGCTACAGGTTGGCACCCCTGCTTTAGAACATCATTGCTAAAATATAGTTTTTATCAGCTGCCATACACACTAGCCATCTGCATCCTGTTAAAAAACTGGTTAGCCTGAATCTGTTTCAACTGTTTTTTATCATTTCATGGCTTTAACTGGACAGCACTTAAAGGGAAGCATTGCAGGGTCCATTAAGGTGTCTGCTGCTTGAATCTCCACTTATGCAGCAACTGTGCTATTAGTGACACAAGAAAAAAAAAGCAGCAAGTGTTCCCATCTGCTCTCTGTGCTGTCACAGAGCTTCCATTGCCAAGGCTTCCTATATTTCAGCGCTTGATCTAAAGTGCTGGTGTAAGTTCAGGCTTGTAGTTCCAACCCTGGTGTGGCCCATACGCTTATTAGGTTCTCTGAAGAAAAGGAATCCAGAGTCCACTGGATGGTAGAGTCCCTGCAGTGTCTTGCCAAGCTGTGCTGCCAGAATATTTATGGAGCTTGGTGCATGCACAGCAGTTGGAAGGAGTTAGTTCTGGAAACACAGTGCTTTAGTGCTCTGGCCTGGAGAACCTAGATGCTCCCTTCTCTTTCCCACCTCCCTTTTGGTTTGTTAAATAGCTCACTGTCATGCTGGAATTCTTACCTGCCTTTGCCTTCCAAGAACCCAGAATGTTTTCTTAATGAACTTAATTTCCACAGTTTGTCCCCTGTATGTGAAACTCTCTTAGCTGGCAGGACCGTTTCAGAGTGGCTGAGATTGATTCAGCCCTGCTTACACAGGATCACTTCTGGCAGATACTGTCAAAGGTACAACTTGGGTAAATTACATTCTGTCTTTGAACAGTTTTGACATTTTCCTCCACCAGAAAGTGGAAAGATAAAGGAGAATCTATGAGCTAAGAAGTTCTGGTATGGGAGCCTCTGTAAATTCCTACGTTGAGTGAAGTTTGCCCCACAACTGCCTGGAAACCCAGTACTACATTAGCAGGTGGGTTATAACTGGAGACTGCCAATCAACCTTTCATTGGTTGATTTCTACTATTAGATCTCCCCAATTCTATACTAAATCATGTTTAGTTATTGGGGGCAAAGGGGAGAGGGAGAGGATGGAAATGAAACCACACATTGGCTTTGCTTCAGGAAAGGTACCTAAATGCATACTGTGCAAATGTATCCTCTCTAATCAATCACCTCTACATCTGAGACTAGACTGAAGCTTGAATGCTTAACAGATAGTCTGAAATACTCTGTGGTTGTGTCTACATGAGACTCTGACTGTATACTTGTTACTGAGCAGTCATTTAGTACTTGCATACACAAGTACTAAATAACTGTGCAGTAACTAGTGTTACTGCACAGTAGTGTACCCAAATAGCTTTTCGGTGATGCTGAATGCACAGTAGCTCATTGCTGCTGCAGAGTAGTGTGCACTTTGTGTCACATGCTGCCACTGTGCAGTAGTAACGAGCTACTGTGCAGTCAGCATCCTGTGTAGACATAGTATGACTATGTATGACATAGTAACGACCACCATATCAAAAGCTGTATAATAGTCTCCATTTTAAATCACTGTTTCTGCCTGAAAATTAATTATGTGATAAAATTTGAGTAATGATTCAGTAGTTTTGGAGTAAAGGAAGGTGACATCACACAGGAAAACCCGCAACCATTACACACATTTTGCTTGAATCTTTTGTGACACCAGATTGGTTGTGGGTATAATATTTACCATGAAGGTTCTTTTAAATAATCAATGAATGCTCACTTAACTGGTATGGAATTATGAACCCTTGAAAACTGTAAGAAAGACTGCATCATGCATGCAAACCTTGGTAACTCAGTTCAGCATTTGACAGGGAGTACCCAGCCTCAGTGGATCATTGGGCAGATTTGTAATAAGCAAACATACAGGCCTGCTGTCAGCAGCACTAAGGAGTTAGGAACTGTCCAATAAAAAGTAACTGGCTGAGAGCAGTATGGTGGGAATCAGCTTGGTTTTTTTCCATAGGAAACAGATTTGTCCTTGTAGCATTAGTACGTCTTTTAGTGTGATAGGTATTTGTAGCCTTTATTATAGTTTTTTCTTTCTGCTTTCTGAGCTGATTTCCTGTCATTTTGTTTTTATATAATACATGACTTATCTTGTGATGGAATAGTAAGCAGATCTGCTAGATTATTAAATAAGTAAAGCAAAATCTTAATGTAAGGGGGTAGAAGAAACTGGATTAGGAATAGGGGAGCGTGTGTGTGCTTGAGAGACAGAAACAGAAGCGTACAGTGTGTTATTAGTACCTGTGAGTAATCTGTCAGGAGGACAAGTCCTTTCACCACGTTAATGGGCTCTCCAGTTGCCGAAAACATTTTAGACATTAAATCAGCGTACCCTTGGAAAAATGTCACAGGCCTGAGCTGAACATCAAACAGGATTGCTGACATGCCAGCAAAGGACTCCAGGTTTTCCTCGCCTTCATCAGCAGATGCAGCTATTATAGTTTCCAGGCCCTGAGCTTCAAGAATGACCTAAAAGGTAACAGTGACACAGCATTCAGGACAAAGTCTGTCCACTGTGGACTTTTAAACACTGCCAGCATTCCTAGTACATGAGTCTGATGTACATTTATTGTAACAAACCTAACTGCATGCAATCAAGAGTAAAGAGAAGACAAAAAAATAGCATAACAATAACAAAGTAATCTCAGAGGAGCCTTTCACATTTAATAAGCTTCAGGTGAGGTTTTCTTCTGTTCAAAAGAACAGCTGAAGGTCTATACCTCAGGTGAGCCCTAAGCTCTGAAGACTGCTTACTATCATTCCACATTTTGTGCCACTGTGAAGTATGCCAATTCATTCTCCCTCCGTGTGCGCCAAATTTTGGAAATGAGGCAACGTAGCTGTCTTCACATGGTGCTGAATGTGTGCCAGTAAATATCTGAGAGAAACCCAGACTGCTCTCAGGCTCTGTGTGTCCAGTGCTGATCTGAGACAACCGCATTGCCTTATTTTCAGGAAATGGTACACAGGGTGGAAGTGAGAGGGTGAGGCATGATTCCTAGTAGTGCTTCAGGGTATGGTACAGAAATGGTGTGGACATGAGCTGTGAGGAAAAAAACAGTGACATTCTTATCATACAGTTCTTTTCCTGAGAGAATTCAGCAGTATTTTTATATCTAATGGATTTTCCATAATATTACTTTTAACAAAAGGCCAAAAGAAAAACTTCTAATTTTAACTCCTATAAATTTTTCAAACCGGAGCCTGTCCCTAAGTTTCCATTTTTGATTAGATCCCAGACTCTTGGAATCTTATTTTAGAGGTCTCTGAAGTTTTCACTGGATATAACAGAAAGATGATGTAGTTTTTCTATACAGCTGGAACTTTGAATCTGTTGTATAAGTACCTTTTCTTTTTTAAACATGTTTTCTCATTTTCAGTGTGTTATTCCCCTTCCCCCCCGATTATTGATATATTCTCTGTCTGATCCTGATGCCCCAAACTCCCATGGTTTTCAATGGGAGCTACATATGCTCAAAGGCTACATAAGGAAGACCATATTGTGGCTCAGTTTTTATGAAGCATATGGCAGTTACCTGGTTGGCATGAAGTCGAGACTTTTTATTGAAAATAAGGATATTCATGTTACTTTTCCTTAAGATGCCAGAGCCTGAGTAGAGTATATCGAGGCTGTACGTAGCAGATGCATCAGGATCACCTTCATTAACAAAAACACAGATACATGTGATTAAGTCACATGATTGGGGTTATAAATGGGGTTAAGAGGCTACTTTTTTTTTTTACATACGTGTCACATAGCCAGAATAGGCAGAGGAAGATCCCATCTTGGAGAAGCGGTCATAGTTATGAACAGAGATGTCCTTCAGAACCTGGCGAATCATTTTGCTTTAGGAAAAAAGCAAGAAAGAAAGAGTGGTCACAAATGTGTTCTGGCTCATGAGGGCACTAATGGTTTAAGCTAGCTAAGAATCTTCCACTGGAAGAAATTCTGTGTTGGTTCTCCTCCACCAGAACTAGTCTAGAAACATTGACTTTCCCTTTTTCATCCCAATTCAGAAAAATTGTTTTCAATAATGCAGAATTCTTTCCTGGGAAAGAATTTTCATTTTTCACCCAGTTCACTTAATGTCAGGTTGTTAGGAGAGAGGAGATTCAGGTTTGGACATATTCTCTGAGCCATATCCAAAGTCTATGGAAGGCAGTGAATTTCTCCTCATTGGGCTAAGAAACATCAAAACCTATAGAATCTCACTGGGGCTTCTGCTGCTAAATTACTTAAGTACTCTTGAGAATCTCACCAAAACTGATTATTTTTGTCTTGAAAGAATTTTGAGACAAACATTCTTTGTGAATGGTCCTGGATGGAGAAACTTGTGGGGAGTAAAATCCCTACGTATAGGGCAGGCACTGTCTGATTTTATTTTTTTAGTGCCTGTCTTTATAACTGTAATGTTAATTGAGTTTGGATTTCCAGTCTGTCTATATAAGTTCATTATGCCTTTATATCAGTGTGAAAGAATCAGGGCCCAGAGGTGGCCATGATGCCCCCTTGGTTGCCGCTTGACTTCTGCCCCCACTCTGGCTCCTCTCAATACCCTCCCTTTCTACCTCACCTGCCATGCCTTGATATAATTTATGAGGTTTCAGGAGGCTGCCTCCAGGTCCCCAGACTGAACCCAGTCTAGCTCCACCTTGCCCCCACACACTATGCTGTGGCCCTGCTGGTCTTACTAGTGCCTCAGGGTACCTGTTGACTTATGGGCTATTTGTGACCTTCGTCTGCCCCTGAAGCCATGCCTATGCCTCATGGATGTTACTTTAAGTTGGCCATTGGGCCTCTGGCCCTGGTAAGGCTTTTTTTTTTTCCCTGGCCCTATTCCTTCTCCAGGCTTTGGCCCTCTTGGCTTAAGCCTGTTCTGGTCTCAGCCTGTACCAGACCACAGCCCTCTGGGTGCCTCACCCCAAGCTAAACTGCCTGACTCTGGCCTTAGTTCTCCCGGCCTTGGCCTAATGTATCACACCAGCCTTAGCCCTTGGGGCCCCTGATGCCAAGCTAGGTTTGCTACTGAGTGGCCTTACCAGGCATCCCTCTGTCACCTCCACATGTCCCCCATAGCCATAGTCCAGTCCTCCAATTAGTCTAATCAGAACTTAAATGCAAGCATAACAGCTGTACAACAAAAATCCTCCCCACACTGTGTCCTTACTTCCCTGTGAGCTATAAGACCCCCTTAGCATTTTTCTTGCAGTTATTTGGGGAAGCTTGGGTCGCTTAGTCTGTTCCCTGCAACCATCTCTTTCACGACCTCCTCTACCTGCTGTCTGTAGGGCCAAACTGACTGCTTGCAATCAGGTACTGAGCTTTTATGTCCCAAAGCCCCACCCCTTCCTGTCATGTGGCTCTCCAGCTACACACAGGGGTTTCTGTTTTTGGCCTGAGGACCAACCTGCCCTCCTCCGCTGCAGCTTAGCCCAGCTGCTTGCAGTTGTTATCTTTATACTTGCCTGGAGGTCTGCCACTGGGCTGCTAACTGCTGTGCAGCTAGCTCCAAGATAATCATCCCTCCAGTGGTAGCTCTTACCCTTGCTGTACCTGGCCTGCTTAGTTTCTAGCAGTTGGCTCTTTTCCCAGCTGCTGACCCCACACAACAAGCTTGATCTGCCACTGTCTTCTTACAGTAACAGGAAACTTTGGTTCCCTATTACAAACAGAAACTTAACTTAAAAGACTACTACCACAACATTTTTGATCTACATTGTTGAGATAGATGCTTTTATAAGGTCTTGGCGATACTTCTCAATTTGGTGCTAGAAAACTTGAGCCATTAAAAAGGATTTATTTGAAAACTAGCATTGTTTAGAATCAAAGGTCTTTCAGTGATTTTTTTTTCTTTCTTAACCTTCAAAGGCTCTCATGGTTGGTAGGCTGGCACTTCAGGGGAACAGACTTACTAACCCAAACTGCCCCAAATGGTAGGTTGGCACATCACCCCCATGATTTTTGATGAAATTTAGGCGCTTGTCTACTATTGGTCTTTGTTCTCTGTATTTATTGGAGTCTTAATTTTATATTGTAAATCCAAGGGATTTGGTGCTGGCCCCTACCCTGGGGGTCTTTAAGAAGAGGCTGGATGCCTACCTGGCTGGACTCATTTGAGTCCCGTTTTTTGTTTTGGGGTTTTGTTGTTCTCCCGCCCTGGTGGGGGGTCAGGCTAGAAGATCTACTAGGTCCCTTCCGACCCTAAATCTATGAAACTATGAAACTATAACGGGTCCAAAAAATATGACCAAAAAAATATTGCCTCTTTCATGCTTTCTGGATTATCATCGCTACAAAACACTCCACTCCTACTACTACAAAATGGAGTAAGAAGCATTTGTTCCCCAACAGCATTCCAAACAGCTACATATATTAATTGGCTAGAAACTATATGCTTGTTGGCTTTAACCTATGTTGTATTAGTATAGAGAATAATAAAATGCAGGTATGTATATTTGTGTACATGCATGTGTATGTGCATGCCTGTATCCAGTCTGGTAATAAATAAAATGTACCTTGCAGGCAGTTCAAAATGGAGTATATCTTGGACCACTGAGAGCATGTACTTGTTCATTTCCTGTGGCAGCTCTCCAATAGAAAGCAAGAGGTTTTTTACTTCCATGTAGGATGGGTAACTACTTAAGATGATAGCAGCTGCAGTAGTTCGCACAGTCTTTTCATAAATTTTATGATTCTGGTGGTATATCCTGTTCATTACTTTCCTCACCTAAACAGGAAATAAACTGTTTACTCAATGAATCTTACATATGCTCAAGAAAGCTACATCTTGGAAATACAAAATAAAGCATCAGCAGTGCCTTCCTGCCCTGGGGTTATAGCAAATAGAATAGATTCAG